CAGATAGAGCTTTCTTTTGGAGGTATATAATCACCACGGGGGGTGTTATTTTTTTTTTAACTATATCATGAATAAAGTACCATAAATGTAAAAAAAAAAAAAGTTTCCCTATGTTATGTTATAAAACATTTATTCTTACCCATATTTTTAGTAAAACATAAAAGTCAGGGTCACGTTGGGTAAATAGACACCAAACATGTCAAGCCTTAAAATTGCGTGCACCCGCAAAAAAAGCCCATAGGCGACGATTAAAACGCTTTTACTGCTCATCTGTCACAGGTCGGCTCAGTAGATCGGCAAGTGAGCGAACACATACCGGTGCTCGCTCACTTCTCGATCCTGTTACAGCAGAGAGCCGTGACAGGGGAGGGACTGGATTCTCCCCGCTCCGATCCTCCAGCGCTGACTGGCGGAACGGACGGGGTAGGGGGTGGGTACAGCTGGCTCTGCCTCTAGATAGGCAGAGCCAGCTGTCACTCACGCAGCTGGGCGGATCCAGACATAATTATCGGGATCCGTTTCAGCTGCGGCGTCTCAGTATACCGCAAGATACTGAGCTTTGGGCGACGGGAGGACGCAGAACTATGGGGAAAAGTCCTAACCCCATAGTTCTCCTTTAATTTTTGTATTACACACACAACTTTATTGCTATTACATGGGGGGCTAAGAAGCCCCCTATGTGATAGCCAATTTACATGACAGGCCCTGTTTATGGAGACATCAGGGGTCTCCAAGACCCCTGTCACCTAGGGACCCCCAGAGAAGCTGATGAAGCAGAGATTTGCTTCATCAGCTTCTGTAGCTGGAGAGTGACACTGAATGCAGGAAGTGATGTAATATACATCACTTCCTTCATTCGGGGACTGAGAGATCAAAGGGAGTTCGTATACTGAACTCCCTTTGACCTCCTGTCACAGAGCCGTGCCGGCCCCATCGGGCACAGCGGATCTCGGGACCTGCAACGGCAGTGACAGCTGCTAATACAAGCGATCGAGCATCTCTAGAGACGCCCGATCGTTTGAATGTAAAACTGCTCGTCGGGCTCCACCGTCCTCTCATCACAGACGAGCGGACAAGTGGATTTTTCAAGCCCTGCCTATGAACCTCGCGCACGGCCAGGACATACAGCTGTCAAGCTGTCACAGGGTTAACTGCATATTACTTGTACTGTGCCAGCTTTTTACACTGAGCCGCAGTTAACTCTGTGACAGCTTGACAGCTGTATGTCCCGGCCGTGTGCGGGGATGTACTGCTGGTACGGTACCACGGGTGGGAGCGGCTCTATCTCGGGGGGGTCAATTGATGGTTATCAAGATAGATATTATTGTGCCCGATGCAGAATATCATCTACCACAAATCACATGTAATTGTACCATGCCTGCTGCCGACAGATGCGGCCGCTGTCACCCTGTCATTTACTTCAATGGGTACAGTGGTCGCAAAGGAGAATACTACAGTGAGTGGCAGTTTTGAGTCTGCTGGGGCTGTTAACATAACATCCAAGATGGCAGCAGCCAACAGAAGTCTTGTAGCCTTCAGAGTTCTACACAAGGGAGGATTTGACAGTTAAATTGTTAAATACCATGCTTAAAAGAGGTGCTTCGCACATAATTATTACCTAAATGGAGTAAAAACAGACTGCTGACCTGCACTGTGATTGTAAAAGGAGGGCTGGTCACCAACACAGCAAGACAAAACGGCAAAGGACCGTCTGTCACCACATATACATGCTTCAGCTAATCACGCTGCAGTCCAAAAAGCCTGCAGCTTTACGAAGAAAAGGTGTCTCGCCAAGTTGACATCCAACCTAAATTTGCCACCAAAATGCATGTAAACAAAAATAAAACTGGGAGGATGTTAAATTTGACTTGGCTCATTAAAATAATAGCCAGCGAGGGTCCTCTTTTAAAAAAGGTATTGACATCTTTCCACTATTCTAAGAAAAGTTTGCACAGCCACAAAAAGTCATCACATATTCTGTTCCTGGGGACCTTACCTATATGGAGGTTAGATTTGTATTCCACATGGTGACTTCTTACAGCCAGCTCCTGGGCTTCAAGCAAGACCTATATAGTTTATAAAACACAAAAAGGATGGGATTGTACTTGTTAAGGAATTAAGACACACACAAACTCTCACAAGAAGGGCATAGCGATATAATGGTCTGAAGTCTGATGCAGATCATGCACTTATTTGCCAAACAGTGAATCTAAAATAAAAAGCAGCAAAAGATAAACAGCTATCGCTTATTTTATCAATGAATGTTGTGTTTTACCTGGAGTTTGTCTTTATATACTTTGACCACATAGGAATTCAGTATTATTGATCAGTCAAGGAAAAAAAATCAAGGTTTGTCATGAATAGTCTATGATTCTTCATTATACAAGCAGCAGCTCCATCTAGTGACAAGGTAACCTTACTGCCATGTTTGTTATTAGATATGTTAGTTGCCACTGTAATTTAAGGAGAACACCAGACAAAACTTTTTAAGAGTTTTTATTGTGGTTTGTCCCCATTGGAGAGTTTTTACTACTTTTCCTGTATCAAGAACAAACAGTGAGTGGCAATCCCATATTTCACTGGAACAGGAGTAAAAGGGAAAGTTCACAAAACAGTTGAAAAACTCTGCCCAGAATTGAATATGAACTTGTGTGTGTGTATATATATATATATA